ACTCAAAAGCACTTATGAGCCGGCAAGAATATAAAGTTAAACATTTGTTGACACTTTTACTTGTACGACAAATAGACAAGCAAATAGACAGAGGGGCGGACAGACGGTATTGGATGGAGCAGACGCAAAAATATGAAAGCAAAGCGATACATCTCGCCAGTCTTCCATAAGAACTAACAGCCATAAATATATGAATAGACATGTGTTTTTATTTGAGGGGTATATTGGAGGAAAAGCGCACCATAAATCTATCGTGGAAGTACTTAAGAAACATCAATTGTCGCATGTACTAACGCCACAAATCTCAACAGTAAAAAATAAAAACAAAAAATATCAAATTTTTTTTTTAAACGCGCCCAGCACTGTTCTTTAGCTGAGATTGCCATGGAGAGCGTCAGATGAGACCGCGTGAAATGTAAGTGATGTGGCATTAGCGACAAATTTTAATGCGGCGTACAATTAAGATTTTCTTTCTTTTTTTGTTTTCGCCTCAATGCGGCAGAGCAAGTCATCCAGTCCTTGGATGTGCTCGCTGTTTGCTGACTGCTGGTGGTGACGTAAGCGCAGATCAACGACTTGCAACATGTCAGTGCGTAGATGCTTGCCTCCTATTTTTTTTTTAACTTGTTGAAGTATTTTTGTTGACTTGTTGAAGTATTTTTGTCACACCAAAACTGTTGCTTTCAACATATCCCAGGGGCTGAATTTCGCTTTTGAAAAGTTACATTTGGAAAAAATTAGCCAGCTCATTTTTAAATTTAGCCGAGGAGGAAGAATTATTTTTGAAGCTAATGACAAGGTGCCAAAAAGTGCACGCATATGTTTGTAAGCAACGTACATATGTATGTATATGTATGTAGGTGCAATAGTATGTGAATACGAGTATGAGTGAGAGTATCAGCATGAGTATGGATATGAGTATAAATATGGATATGAGTATGAGTATGTATTTGAGTATGCGCTTGAATATGAGTACGAATTCGAGTATTGATATGAATATGATTACGAATATGATTATAAATATAAATTTGAATCTGGATATGAAAGTGAAAATGAATACGAATGTGATTACGAATATGAGTACATATGAGTGTGAATTTAAACATTATAATTTAAATGAGTAGTAATAAGAGTATTTAAACGGGTAAGCAAAACCGTAAGAACTAAATCTGTGGGAAATTTATATTCCCAAAAAAGTTGCTTCCATCTCTCTTAACTTAAATTTAGTCAGTTGCGGAAGTTCTCGTGATTATGTTTGTACATAACTTAAATACATATATATGTATGTATATAGATACATGTACAGTATCGGGCATATCTATAGCACGCCATTTCAAAGTGATATTGTGTTTATTTATTTATTTTTAAGAATTTTCAATTGAAATTTAGTTCATTCTCAGACAAACCCCATATATACCCAAGTTTAACAATTTGTAGAAAACTTAAAAAAAGTGCAACAAAATTTCACCTAAATTTCGAACTTTTTTCTCGAAAGTGTTAGAGTTTTTTTGAGTACACAGTTTTTTAGCCCCTGCAATTTTAGTCTGATAATGTGCAAATTTCAAGTGGCTACGAATTACCGTTAATTTTTTAGAATTTTTTTTGTCGCATTGGCTTCCATGTAATGAATAAATTCAATTTATTTGTATATGGAAGAAAACCGCAATACCTTTGGCGAAAAAAATTCTAAAAAATCAACGGTTACCTTTAGCCACTTGAAACTTGCTTATTATCCGACTAAAATTGATTGTGCTATAAAACTGTGTATTCAGAAAAATTCTAACACTTCCGAGAAAAAAGTTTGAAATTTATATGAAAATTTGTTTCACTTTTTTGGAGTATTCTACAAATTGTTAAACTTGGGTTTATATGGATTTTGTTAGAGAAAGAGCTATATTTTAATTGAAAATTCTTAAAAATAAATAAATGAACATAAGTGGCACACAATATCACTTTGAAATGGCGTGCTATAGATATGACCGATACTGTAGGTGCAATAGTATGTGAACTTAAATACATGCTAGATTAAGTACTGTGAGATATATACTAATAATATGTATGCGAATCCGAATATGAGTATGAATATGAATACGGATATGAGTGTGAGTATGAGTACGTATATAAGTAGTAATATGGATATGAGTATAGGTATGAGTGTGAGTATGCAATTGAGTATGCGCTTCAATATGAGTACGAATATGATTATATATATGAATATGAATCTGGATATGAAAGTGAAAATGAATACGAAAGTGATTACGAATATGAGTATGATATGAGTACATATGAGTGTAGACTTAAACATTATAATTAAAATGATTATGAAGAAGAATATTTAAATGGGTAAGCGAAACCGTAACAATTTAATCTGTGGGAAATTTATATTCTAGGTAAAGTTGCTTCCATCTTTCTAAACCTAAAATTAATCAGTTGCGCAGACACGCTTTAAAGTTCTCGTGATTTTCCTTTGATTATTTTCATTTTGGCACACCTTTACGACACACTGTTGTGAATAATTCATCAAAATGCTAAGCAAATTCAACAACCTGTCTACTGTCTGGGCCATCGCTGACTCACTTATGAACTGACTGACTAATAAAATAGGAGAAAACGGAGAAGAGGCAGTAAATACACTACGAGGCTGTATTGTATCAACACAGGCTGGCGCTTGGGCCACCGGGAATGTAGTGGGCGCTTTTACGATTACAGCGTACTTTGCGCGGAGTGAGTGATTGACTTACGGTCTAACTGACTGACTGTCTGAATGCACTTGTAGCAGCGAGTAAATAAATGTATGCATGTACGTGTACACCGCCGTACGTATGGCGGCGCAATTAAATTTTGTTGCTGCTGTTGCAAAGTAAACTTTCAAAGCTTTTACGCTTTGCTTGCGGTCGACGAAATCCTCGCGTTAAACTTCAACAAATCCAATGGACATAGACGAATGTTTTTTTTCTTCTTTTCATTTTATGCTTTTATTTCTTAGTTTTTTTCATTGCCTCGAATTGTGCTCCACTGCATTTTGATGAGTTTTTGCTTTTTGTTGTCATTTGTTTTTATGTTTACTGTTGTTCACTTCTATCTTTCGAGTTGTTTTTAGAAATCTTTGTTTGTTATTTGTGTCTGCTTTTTGTTGTTTTTCTTTCATCCCTGGCTTTGTATTTTTACAACTTTTCCGCTACGATTCACTTTCATCATTTAAAACACAAAAATCATCTTTCAACGTCCGCATATCAAAATTTTCTCTATGAAATGTGCCAACCCCCCAGGTGGGATGTTGATGTTTTAATTGCTGTTGTTGCTTCTTGTAAGTGCAACTTCCAGTAAGCAGCGATGGCAGCATACACGATGGGGTATAGTATTCGTAAGATTGTAATTAAAATGTTTTATTTCGTACTCGCAAAGTTGTATGAAGTGCTATGGGATGAAAAGTCAACAGTCTCAATTGCAAAGCCTTTGAAAATCTCTTAAATCTATTTTGTTAGTATTTCATTGATTTCTCAACTCCAAAGGTAAATATAAATATTTTAGACCGATAAACATAGGGACTTACTCTACATTGTATTAAAATTAGAAATGCCTATCAAATGAATAAGAGAACCAGGTCGATTCAAATCCGTAGGCAGCTAATTTTGAGAAAAGTAAGAACATAGTAAGTATGTATTTTTTTTAATTAAAATAAATTTAAAATCCCTATTTGAAACCCAAGAAGTGAATGTGACCGATTTGGTATATAGAAAGATGAATCTAATTTGATAATATTACTACAAATGCATTCGCTTTCAATTGAGTTTCCACATAGAGTAGGGCTGCCAGACGTCCTGGTTTTCTAGAATTTGTCGTGGTTTTACGAAATTGTTCTGGTGTCCCGGTCCTTGCCTGGTTGTCCTGGTTTTTTAATGAAGGTCAATGCAGACGCCCATTTTTTCCAAATTTTTGCTATGTAAAAAGGTTAAGAATTCTGTGGTTTTGGTTGGCTTCTCGGAAACAGCTCTAAAGGCTGGTTTCCACTATGTCAAATTCGATGATTCGATCAAATAGGTGAAAACACATTGTCAGTTGAGACTAAAAATCGGTCTATCGATTGACTTAGGTCAGAATAGTTCTTCAGTCGTGAACGTGTCCATTTTTGGCCAATAATATAATTGGTAAAGATTTGGATAGAGGAGATAAAGTTGTGTCAAAATATGTCGAGAAATTTTGTTGTCACAGTGAAAACAAGCTTGAATGATTTTGATTAAATTTTGTATTCAGATAACGTTTTGCATTTTGAGGCTATCTGTATTGGTGTTATCTCCGAAAATATTCGTATAGGGTTGCCACCTATTTTCAATTAGTTACAAATAAAATAAAGCATCATTATATGGGTATAAAATGGAAATTATATAAAAGCTCAAATTCAAAAATATTGTTAAATAGAGTTGCCACCTCTTTTCCATTTTTTTGTGTCGAAAATTAAGATACAATATTACTAATTATGGGTACTAAAAGAAAGCTCATAAACAATTATTTGCCTATATAGTTAGTGTTATCCCTTAGAATATTAGTGCAAGGTTGCCACTTATTTTCTATTTTACAAAAATTTAGCTAAAGCAATTTGATGCTACTAAGACATGAAGGCATTGCCGTATTAATTTTGTTGTATCTATGCAGATATCTGACTATAAATTCGGAATAGTAATGCGATTACTACCCTCATATTTAGAACCACAAGTAAAGTAAAGCGCCACAAATTAGCGCCAAAACGAAGTGGCAAATGCGTTAAATACCAAATTCAATTTACACACTTACATATTGCTTACAACTAAAAAGGAAGACGAATAAGCAAAGGTAAGTACCTAAGTTCCACTAGAAAAGCAGCAGACGCCAGCTGCTAATGTATGCAAGCGCCACACACATATTTTTGCCTTTTGCTTTTTTTTGTTTGTTTTTTAAGCACTTAGAGTGCGAAAACAAAAATAAGGAATTTAAAATTTATTTGCATCTCTTTCTATACTTACCAGCAATTTGTAAAGTGGCCTTACGACTCACAGCCTTGCCCACATGATTCTTGGCCACACACCAATAGACGCCGCTGTCTTGTTCCTTTTTGCTCATCATAGTGCGATAGAAGAAGAGCGCGCCATCCTTGAATAAAACGCGATGTGATTTCTTTTCGTTTGTGTTTACAGGTTCGCCATCCTAAAGGCGGAAAGAAATAAGAAAAATGTGGAGATGTGAAAAACGTTTATTTAAATGTAAGAAAAATATTGGTAAGTGTAAGGCAAAAACACAACAACAAAAAATGTTTGTGTAAAAATATTTATGTGCTGGCAAGGCAAACGAGTTAGGCTTTTAGAGCAATTGCAAGAAGACACAGCACTTTACCACTTTTCTTTTTTGTTTGGAGAGGCACGAAGGATAAGCAAACTACTCACATCGGCGCAATACAGAAGTGGTTTTAAACAGTGCTGATCAATTGTCTAAGTACTCTTCTCTTTTGAACTAGTTTCAGCCTAGTTTCCATATCTAATAGTTCAGTTACATAAAGGTCTTCATATTCATTGCAGAATTTTATTTTTAATTATGACTTTGATCGTCACTTCCGATATACAAATTCGAGTCATGCCTAATTCTGTACTAAATTTTGTAGGTACTCATTTGCTGAATGAAGCGCTTTAACGGGTATGGAGCTGGTATGCTTGCAACTAGTGCTTTTGAGCGACTGCCCTTAATTTTACTATAAAAAAATTTTAGTATTCAGGCTAAAATTTACCTTACTATTCAATTTGTTATTGTTTTTTTTTTCTTAACCGCTTGTGGCAAACACTTTACCACACTCATCTACAAAAGAAAAATATTCTTGCCCTTTGTCAACCTATACCCAGTTGATTTGCAGTCGCACGAAGTTATCAAGCTGCAAGAGACAAACCACAATTTTTGTTTTTGCATAACAAACTTTTGCGGTTTAACTCTCCTTGTCTCTGTGGAAATGTGGCATTGTGAGTTTTTATTTATTTTTCTTGTTTTTTTTCGAGCAGACATAGTGCAATTGAATTAAAGACTTACACTGTAGGTGGTAGCACTGTCAGACATGTGTTGCATGCCACTTTCGTTTTCATGATTTACATGTTGTATGTAGGTACTTTTCTGTGCGGCTGCGACAAATGCGGTTGATGGTGCTTTTAGGTTTTTTTCACTGTTTTGTGGTTTTGGTGTCATTTTACAAAAAGTATTGCAGTGAAAGGCAGACATTTGGTGTACATATGTACATAAGTAGATATCTAGGTAAGTGCGGTAATTACTTGTTGTAAGGTGTTGTATAAATTTTACGAATAATGAAAATTATTTGCATAATGGTGCAACACATAATTTAAATTTCAACAATTTAAACATAAACGATAATTAAAAGCAATAAACTTAAAAATTGTGTAGTTAAAATTTCAATGGTACTATTTTTAATAAAACGTTCACTCAACTTTTTATTCATTAACCATTTATACATACATATGAGAGTCAGAGTAGTCTATTTAAATTTAAAAATTTTTTTTTTTTTGTAATATGAGAGAGAAGGATCTACAAACAACAAATAAGGTGTTTTACTGAAGAGTTCAATCCACCTACGTTATGCTACATACCTGTCGGGGTAAAGGATTTTTTTTTTAATTCAGGAAGGCTACTCTGGCTTTCAAGGCCTCATTGTAAAGTAAAAGCTATAATAAAAAGAACTAACCGATCATTCACGATTTTACCTAATATGTGTATTTAAAATGTTGTAAAAATATTTTCGTATAAATCTTTGACGTTGATGGACATATTAAAATCGTTTTCATTTCCAACGTCCAAACACAGATTTCGAGGGCAAATACACCGCCATTAATTTGAATTAAAATAATAATTCTTACTTAAATATGTATGTCTCCAATCCTTGTCTAATCATAAATCTTACGTTAGTAATGAAAGTCCTCTAAAGTTTGAGGTTTGTTCGTATAAATACGGCCATCCGAGTTGCCCCATAAAAAAGTCCACTGGTGCCAAGTGGGATGATCTCAGTAACCATGACACTGTGGATGATCAGACGCCTTCAGATGTTTTGTGGAGAGAGATTTGTTTGGATGGAAATGTATATCCAAATGCAGAATATGCTATTATGAGCCATTATAAACTTGAAAAGGTGTAGATGTTTATTTCATTTGGTTACTATAACGAAATCTTGGTAATTATAACTAAACCTTTTTCTGGGTGCGGAAATGCCAAGTACAGCAAAGTCCTCTCCATTTGGTCTTTCCATTATTTTTTTGATTATTATTATTATCTTTTTCAATGAAAGCTAATAAAATTTGCAACTGACCAGTTATTATTATAATTTTTTATTTGTATCCAATTTTTTAGTTCGAAGTGCAGTGAAGAAAATCGATTTCCTCTTCCATTTAGTTAATGTTACATAACAAAAACTATTTTAAAACAATTGTAGGTTTCCCCAAAATTAAAAAAAAAAAATCGAAACTTTATAACAAAAATTTGCACCAAAATTAATTGTTTTTTTAATTTTTACAAAAATGTCGGGTAAGCAGTTTCATGGGACACCAAATTTTAGTGCAAAAAAATACAAGTTTCAAGTGGGTAAGAGGTTGCGTTAATTTCTAATAATTTTTTTGCTTACATTTCGAGCAGATCTGCATGTTAAATGGGAAATAATAGCGTTTTCTATATTATTAAACATTAACGCGAACTCTTTAAATTTAATGATCTATAAACAAACAAAAAAAATGTATGTTGGTTAACATTTTTTATACCTAAAATTTCAAATTTGTTTGAATTTTTTTTCATTTTGAGGAAACTACGATTGTTTTAAACAAGTTTAATGTTTATTAACTGGAATAAAAGAATCGATTTTCTACAAAATCAAATTTAATATAAACAAACAAAATTCCGAAAATCGGGCTGAACTGATCCCTTTCAAATTTTATTCTCTTCTTCTTCTTATTTGCCGCTGTAACCGCCAAAGCGATTTTAGCCGAGTTCAACAAAGCACGCCAGTGGTCGCTCTTCTGCGCCAAGGTATTCTCCACCTGGCCTTTCCATCGCAGTGTTGGCGTCCCTCTTCTTATGCTACCACCAGCGGGTGCCGAGTTAAATAATTTCAGAGCTGGAGCGTCGGTGTCCATTCGAACGACATGGCCAAGCCAGCGGACTCGCTGTCCTCGTTGCACTATGTCCATGCCGTTGTAAAGCTCAACGGGACATCATTACATCGTCTGCAGTACGCGCCATCGCCAACGCATAAAGGCCCGTAAATCTTCCGCAAAATCTTTCTCTCGAACACTCCAAGAGTCGCCTCATCGGATGTTGTCGTTGTCCATACACCAACACGGGTATGATGAGTGACTTATGGAGCGTGGTTTTCGCACGTCGAGATAGGACTTTACTCCTGAATTGCCTATTCAGTCCAAAGTAGCACTTGTTGGCAAGAGTGGTTCTGCGTTGGATTTCTATGCTGTCATTATAATCGGTGTTAATGCTGGTTCCCAAGTAAACGAAATTCTCTACTTTCTCGAAATTATAACTGTCAACAGTGACGAGGGTGCCTAGGCGCAAATGTGCTGACTGTTTGTTTGATGACAGGAGATACTTCGTCTTGTCCTCGTTTACCACCAGACCCAATCGCTTTGTTTCCTAATCTAACTTGGAAAAGACAGAACAGACTTCGCGGCTTTTGTTATCGATAACGTCGATGTCATCGGCATAAGCCAGCAATTGCACGCTCTTGTAGTAAATTGTTCCTGAGCGGTTCAGTTCTGCAGCTCTTATTATCTTCTCCAACATCAGATTAAAGAAGTCACATGAAAGGAAGTCGTCCCGTCTGAAACCCCGTTTGTTGGCGAACGGCTCGTAGAGGTCTTTCCCAATTCTGGCGGAGCTGGTGGTATTGCTCAACATCATTTTACACAGCCGTATCAGTTTGGTGGGGATGCCAAATTCAGACATAAGGCGTATAGGCAAGTCCGCAAATGAGTCTTGAGTGTCGATCCTTTTCTCGCGGGTCTGCAAATTTCACTAGTTTTCATTTCACCACAAAAGCCGGAGCAGTTTCCTTATAAATGTTAAAAATAATGCCTCTGATGCGCATTTTAGGGTAGGTATCTTAAATGTGCACTTAAGCATAGAGGCAGCAAAGCAAAATATACTGTATTTGCTTGTGATGGTTGAATAAAACATGCCTAATGTTAATCTCCCGTGAATTGTGAACACTAAATGCCATTTTTGAACCACTGTGCAGCGGTCATCCCTCAGAATGCGATGCCAAACTCCGGGTGTACTTATGCCATGAACGATGTATTGCGCATCAACGCAAGAATTTAGTTACCCAAATAATAGTTAATTAAATTTTTTCAATTCCATTTTTTTACGTATGTACATCCTAGTCCGCAACTGAAAACTCATTCAGCGCACTCCAAATAACGTCTAGCCATTACCACTACAATACTACGTAGACACAATATTTCAGCATATCCTCAAGTTGCAGCATTTACCTTTTCAAATTTATTACATTTCAAATTGTAAGTGATTTTATTGCTATCGTATTGCCGGGATTTACATTTTCGATTGTTTTATTCAATGCAAATCAAAAACAAAAAAAAAACGAGCAATGAGAAAACAATAGTGGATCGAGAGAAAAGTTAAATAAAATTGCTGCCACACGAGCAAGGGCTATAACTATAAGGTACGAAGGCTATGTAAATGTGCATGGAAAGTACGGAGTTTAATACACTGACGAGCAGTAATCCTATGTCAAGCTATTGCGCAAACATACATACATACATATGTATATCTACGCCTCGGCACACGTGAAGTGCTCTCAGCTAAAGTCCTTCTTGCGCCTATTGAATATAAATAACACACGGCACCACACTTTCACACAAAAATCCCCGTACAAACTATCTCCATTTTAGTGCTGCTGTGTGAGTGATGTGCAGATATATTGATTGTGTAAATATCTTTGTGTATGCACATATGGGCGTTGTTATCCTCGTAACTATATTTGAACATTTTTATTTTTGTTTTTTTTTTTTGAGCAGCGCATGGACTTACCTTAAACCATTCAATTGTCGGCTCCGGTTTACCTTCGACTTTGCAATTCAGTGTGGCAGGTTCATTCTTTTTCACAACCAAATCTGTTGGATGCTCGATTATACGCGGTGATTGATATTGAGCTGCAAAGAGAACGAAAAAAAAAAATACAAAATGAATGAAAGCCATTGTTGAGATACGTATAAATGTAAAAAACTAAATAGTTTGATTGCTGGAAAAGAGTTGAACTAAAAAACTGTACGGAGGTTCAGAAAAAACAAATCAAAAATGTGCCGACTGAACTATGGAAGCAGCACGAACAATGCGTTAGCGAATGCCAGGGAACACTGCAAACGGTTAAGCATTGCAGATAGTAAATATTTTTTTTTTGTGTGGCACGTCCAGAGACTAAAACATTTACATAAATAGATTCGCCCTTAACTGCTACAATCTTCTATGTATGTATGTAGTGGCTGGTGTCCAAATGTGGGTTGGTTTATTGTTGAAACGTGTCTGTGTTTTTGACTGCGTGGTTTGAAGGGATTTGAATCCTTTTGGTTTCACTAAGCTGATATGGAGGCATTTTGTTTTTTTTTTTTGTATTTCATTTCTAAAAAAATACATATTATTTTATTTGTGGGAATTTTATTTTGTTTCATTGATCAACAAAGTGCTGTGGTGGCACGCAGATTAGTTTTGTACGAAACGTGTCGATTGCAAACATTTTTTTTTTATTTCAGTTGCATACAAAGCTTTGAGCAACAGCTTTGACATGAGCGCCTGGGGATTACGTAGTAGATGGCAAAAAGAAATAAAATAAAGTTTTTTGGAAAAATATTTGTTGGTAACATAAAGTTTTATATAAATAGTTGCAGCTTCGAAGCCGATTTTAATTCAGCAATAAATGAGTTTTTTTTCAAATCTTTCTGAGCTAGTAGCTATCTTAAATATACCTACACTTTAAATAAAAATATATTTCTATGAAAGCAGTAAAATGAATGCGAGTAGCATGCTTGGAAATGAGATACAATTTTTAGGAAGAAGGGAGTTTTAGGATTTTTTTTTGCGGACAATGCTTCATTTTCTTCCATACAAAAAAAAAATTGCCAAAAATCAACGCAATTTTTTAGCAAATTCATACTTGCAATTTGCGTCACATCTGCGTACTTACAATTTTTCTTCAAAATCTGAATAGAAAATTAGTATGCAATTTTATTGAATTTTATTAGGTTTTGCACAAAGTTTAGATATATAATATTAATTTTTTTTGTGGAATTATATTTTTAAACAAAATTATCGAAAAGAAATTGAAATGAAAAAATTTTCATACATTGCTAAAAATTCTCTATACCAATACTTTTGTTCGTCACTGTGTGTAGCAAATTCCATCAAGCTTTCCAACAGAAATTAAAATCATCTAAGAGCTGATGGAAGCAGCGAAATTACCGCTAAAAATTAAATTTGCAGAGCAAATGCATCTTTCAAAATAAATCTTTGGAAGCAATTATTTCAGATTTTTTCGAGAATTTTTAATCAAAGTAAATTTTAAATTTAAAGCAAAATTTTTGAAACTTTATCGCCGCAATGCTTCGCCAAGATTTTCAAGCAACCGAGAACTTTCCATTATAAAATTAATGCCCTTTTCGAAAATTTTAAGCAAACTCAATTTACGAAATTTAAACAAATTAAATTGGCAGCATTATTAATTGCATGGCAACGGTGTAGCTATCGCATATTTCGTGAATTGTTTTTTAACAGTCTGCTTGGGGGAAAAGTTATTTCCTTGAATTCTGTTTATACGCCGCAGACCTTAAAATCATTGTTTGAGTATGAGTTTGAAGCTCAACGAAGCCTTTTATGAGCTCCCAAATTAATTAAAACTGCGCCTACAGCGTCTCCATCGTATACAACGTCTGTGTTGTAGGTGCCGATGGTAGGCAATGTGTACCTCCTATTAATTTCTTTTTTTTATTACTTTTTTTGCGTGCAAAAATTGCTTCAGAAAATAAAAATTTCACTCGCCGAGTATCGATGTAAAACTCATTAAAAATGAAAATCACGTTCCTGTTAACATTGGGCGGGCTGCGTATGTCTCCATAATCAACGTCAATGACATGCAACAGCAGTACATACATGTATACTTAGTATATGTATATGCATACAGTGTATGGTAAGTGGGTAGTACTTACGCCCGCATTGCCGCCACTGCGAGTAACCAATTTAATGCATATTCAACAAATTATTAATATGCCACTTAACGACCGGGTTGGCCGTGCATAACATTCGCACAATTCATTGAGCTAACAGGAGTCAATGTATACAGCACACACAAATACAACTGCTTATCATACCTTCATAAGTGTGGGTATATCTATAGATATATGGAGTTGCACAGTGCAAACGAGCGCGGCATACTAAGCATACATATGTATATGGGGCTTTCCATACCAAACATAAATAATAAATAAATATAAAATTTGAGCTTGATAAATACATTTTTAAAAACTTTACAGCACAAAAACAAAAAAAAAAATCGATTTAATAGTTTTCCAAATATCTCGAGAATGGGGCGAGGAAAAAATTTGACAAAAATCACACATACATACACACATCAAAATGCTCTATGAAAATAGATATTTTTAAAATTTTTTTTCTTGAAAAATATTTCACATAGAAAATTTTTTTCTTGAAAAATACTTCACATAAAAATTTGTTTATATTTTTTTTTTAGTTTTTGAAAATATGCTATTTCAAAAAAAAAGTGAAAAAAAATCATAATGGTCGCTCTGAGTATTGCGCAATATTTAAGTATAGTATTACGGGGAGCACTCGTACAATAATTTGAGTTATGAATATTTTTTACACCGAAGTTGAGTAAAATGAGTACATTACAAATATACAAATTTTTAAATTTTTTTTTAGATTTTTTGAGTATGCAGTTTGGTAGCCCATAAAATTTTAGTGCAAAGAGTGCAAGTTTTAGTCTACTGAAAGATTGCGCTGATTTTTAATATTTTTTATGCTGGCGGCTTTTTGCTTATGGAAGAAAGTGCGCAAAATCGTTTTCAAAGAAAATTAAAGAAAAAAAATTGCCAGTTTCGAAATGGCTTAAAGCTTGCACTTTATTATACTAAAACTTAATGGGCTAGAAAAGTGCATACTCAAAAAAAAAATTTTAATTTGTAGTGTACTTATTTTGCTCAACTTCGGTGTAAAAAAAAAAATGCATAAATCAAATTATTGTAGAGTGCACCCCGTAATATTACACTTCTACTATTTTCAAAAACTATTCCCACCATGCAAAACATGAGAAATAGGCAACAATCGTCAATGGCAACAAATCGGCAACACCACTTCGTTCATGTCAATTTTGAATAAAAAAGTTCTCAAAAATTCGGAAACTTATGAATATGGCGTCAATAGCATTGGCCAAAAGCATCTAAATTATGCCCAAGGACAAGATTGAAAAAAAAATAGGAAGTCTCACAGCGAGAAAATGAATTAATTCCGATTGTAAGTTGCAATTTGGTATACAAAAAAATAAATGAAGTATTAAGAAGAATAAAATTATTCCAAATATCGCCTGAAGCGATAAGAAAAGGACTCATTCAGGTAATAAGAAAACGACTCACCCAGGCGAGTTGCCTTCGGCGGACGTTTTAGAGCGACCGGTAATAGGAAATCGATTCGATGGCAATATTACCGGCAATAAATTTGTTTCCGAGGGCGACACGTTTTCTTATTGCCGGCAACACAAATTGTTTGGTGGGTTTTTTTTTATCAAAAAATTTGTATGTGAAACATTTTTCCAGAAAAAGAATTTAAAAAATATTTATTTTCATAGAGAATTTTGATTTGTGTATATGTGATATTTTTCAAATTTTTTCTTCAACCCGTTCTCTAGATATTTGAAAAACTATTAAATCGATTTGTTTTTGTTTTTGTGCTGTAAAGTTTTTAAAAATATATTAATCAAGCTCAAATTTCGTATTTATTTATTATTTATGTTTATCCGTCAATCCTAAAAATTTGAAACATGGCAAGCACATTTTGGTATGGAACGCCCCATATGTAGCTGCTGCTCAACGGATGGCTGTCTGTTGCTCTGTGTTGACTGTGCGCAAACAGTTGAGTAATAGAAATATTATCCTGCAATGAGTTGATCAACGTCAAAGTCAACTCACTACTGCCGGTGGTGTCGAGTTGTTGCAGGATGATGTTGCAATTTCGTGCTCAGACAAAGACCCCACTCCACCACACTTTGGTGATAAGGACACACCTGCCCAGACGACTAAAGGCTGCTTGTGTATCTTTGGTTGTTGGCAAACAACTTGCAACATGACATTTTGAAGGCAATCACATTGACGTAAATAGTTATTGAGTGCGACCGTAGCGTTGCGGGCAATCGAATCGACTGCGTCTATTGGCTACAAAGATACCAACAGCAAAAATTGAAATCTGAAAACCTAAGCTTGAGCGGCAATAGGAAAGTGTTGGGAATATTAGCAGCATGAATGTCACCAACAAAAGTCACAAGGACAACAACCAGCGCACTAATAAAAACAAATTAACTAAAAAAAGCAACAACAACAACAAAATCAAATTACCCTACTTCTGGCCAATAGTTGACTTTGAAGAGGTAAATTGTTGCAATGGCAAGCAGAAATTTTTTTGGTCATGTTGCACGTATTAAACTCGTGCAGATGGGTGTTTTTATGCTAACTCGCTAGAAAATTTGAAATATACAAGGTAGGTATTTGTATTGCTAACACTGGCAAAACGGCAAAGTCCAGCTACTGTCAGGGCTACTAAGGAAGTAAAGGAAATTTGAAGCGTGCTATGCAGAGTGAGCCGAATGTGTAGCGTAACAATGTTAGGCCACATAATTACATGTATAAATACCAAGTAGATGAAGGGTTAATTGTATGTTATGCTTAGCTAAACAAAGCAGTTTGCATGCCACATACACAGTTTAACGGCGGTCGTTCTTAGCAACCGCCTTTACCAACAAGTCTGCCAACAAGCCTGCCATCGGCCGTCATATTATATAGAGGTACCAAAGTATTCAGGCATAAAAAAAGTTGGTCAACAGCTAAATATATGTGCGCGCTTATATATATCTTCAAGTGTTTACAGCACTGTA